TTGAGAGTGAAGAGCACTATAATACTATTATCTACCCCGTTGCCTTTGAAAATTGATTATGAGGGTCAAGTGTAGTAATACAGACATACCTCGGAAATACCATGGGTTTGCTTCCAGGTGGCCACAATAAAGTGAATAATGCAATTAAGTGAGTCACATGAATTTTTGTGTTTCCTAGGGCATTAAAGTTGTGTTTATGCTGTACCATACCATATTATACTACACTATATTAAGTGTATAATAGCACTGTGTCTTTAAAAGCAATATACATTCCTTAGTTAAGGGATACTTTATTACTGTTGAAGAGGCCGAAGTGAGAGGATTACTTGAGCCCGGGAGTTTGAGGCTACAAGTGAGCTATGATTGTGCCCCTGCACTCCAGCCTGGGTAACAGAGACCCCATCTCTCCCCGCAAAAAAACCTAAAAACTTTATTGCTAAAAAATGCTAATGATTACCTGAGCCTTCAGCAAGTCATATTCTTTTTGCTGGTGGAGGGTCTTGCCTTGGTATCTTGTTTTTGTTTTCTAAATATGTGTGCGTGTGTGTGTGTGTGTGTGTGTGTGTGTCAGAAGTGGGATTTGAATTGCCTTGATGTCAGTGGCTGCTTATTGATAGAGTGATGATTGCTGAAAGTTGGGGTGGCTGTGGCAGTTTCTTAAATAACACAACAATGAGGTTGTTGCGTCTGTGGATTCTCCCTTTCATGAAAGATTTCTCTGTATCATGTGATGCTGTTTGATAGCATTTTACCCACAGTAGAACCTTTTTTCAAATTGGAGTCAGTCCTCTCCAACCCTGCCGCTGCTTTATCAACTAAGTTTCTGTAATGTTCTAAGTCCTTTGTTGTCACTTCAGCAATGTTCACAGCATCTTTACTAGGACTATATACCAAGAAACCACTTTGTTTACTCCTCCATAACGAGTAACTTCTTATCCATTCAAGTTTGATCATAAGATTGCAACAATTCAATCACATCTTCAGATTTCATTTCGAATTCTGGTTCTCTTGCTATTTTCACCACATATGCAGTTACTTCCTCCACTGAAGTCTTGGACTCCTCAAAGTCATCCATGAGGAATGGAATCAACTTCCTCCAAACTCGTGTTAATGTTGATATTTTGACATTCTTCTATGAATCATGAATGTTCTTAGTGGCATATAGAATGGTGAATCCTTTCCTGAAGGTTTTCAGTTTATTCTGCCTGGATCCATTAGAGTAATCACTGTCTATGGCAGCTATAGCCTTACAAAATGTATTTCTTTCTTTTTCTTTTTCTTTTTAGACAGGGTCTTGCTGTGTCACCCAGGCAGGAGTGCAATGGTGCCATCTTGGCTTATTCAGCCTTGACCGCCTGTGCTCACATGATCCTCCCACCTCAGTCTCCTAAGTAGCTGGGACCACAGATGTGTATCACCCCGCCTGGCTAATTTTTTTGTATTTTTTGTAAAAACATGGTCTCGCCATGTTGCCCAGAATGGTCTCGAACTCCCAGGCTCAAGCAATCTGCCCACCTCGGCCTCCCAAGTGCTGAGATTATAGGCTTGAGCCACTATGCCTGGTCACAAAATGTATTTCTTAAAAAAAAAAAAAAAAAAGGCCTCGAACTCCCAGGCTCAAGCAATCTGCCCACCTCGGCCTCCCAAGTGCTGAGATTATAGGCTTGAGCCACTATGCCTGGTCACAAAATGTATTTCTTAAAAAAAAAAAAAAAAAAAGGCCTTGATGGTCAGAATTACTTCTTGATCCATGGACTGAAGAATGAATGCCGTGTTAGCAGTCATGAAAATAACATCTCCTTGTACGTCTCCATCAGAGCGCTTGAGTGACTACGTGCATTGTTTGTGAGTAGTAATATTTTGAATCTTTTTTTCTGAGCAGTAGGTTTCCTTAAAATATTAAGCCCACTGTGAGTATTTTAAATTCAGCTGAATATTTTAAATTCAGCAAGCCATGCTGTAAACAGATGTGCTGTTTAGGCTTTGTTGTTCCATTTACAGAGCATGGGCGGAGTAGATTTAACATCATTCTTAAGGGCCCTAGAGTTTTCTGAATGATAAATGACCATTGGCTTCAACTTCAAGTCACCAGCTGCATTGGCCTCTAACAAGAGGATCAGCCTGTCTTTGAGGCTAGGCATTGACTTCTCTCTAGCTGTGAAAGTCCTACTTTATGAGAGCTCACAAACAAAAAATAAAGTCCTAGATGGTATCTTTTTCCAATACACAGCTATTTCATCTATATTGAAAATCTTTTGTTTAGTGTAACTACCTTCATCAAATAGCTAGATCTTCTGGATAACTCGCTGCAGCTCCTACATCAGCACTTGCTGCTTCATCTTGTACTTTTGTGTTAATGGAGACAACTTCTTTCTTTAAACCTCATGAACCAACCTTGCTTCAAACTTTTCTTCTGTAAGCTTTCTCACCTCTCTCAACCTACATATAATTAAAGTTAGGGCCTTGCCCTCGATTAGGTTTTGGCTTATGGGAAGGTTGTGGCTGGTTTGATCTTTTGTCCAGACCACCAAAACCTTCTCCATATCAGCAAGAAGGCTGTTGTGCTTGCTTGTTTTTTTTGTTTTTTTTGTTTTTTTTTTTTTTTTTGAGACAGAGTCTCACACTGTCCTCCAGGCTGAGGCTGGAGTGCAGTTGTGCAAACTTGGCTCACTGCAGCCTCTGCCTCCTGGGTTCATGCATTTCTCCTGCCTCAGCCTCCCGAGTAGCTGGGATTACAGGTGTGCACCACTACGCCCAGCTAATTTTTGTGTTTTTAGTAGAGACAGGGTTTCACCATGTTGTCCAGGCTGGCTTCAGACTCCTGACCTGAAGTGATCTGCCCGATTCGGCCTCCCAAAGTGCCAGGATTACAGGCGTGAACCTGTACTGCGCCTGGCTCTGTTTTGCTTTCTTGTCATTTGTGTGTGCACTGGAGTAGCACTTTTAATTTCTTTCAAGAACTTCTCCTTGGCGTTCACAACTTGGCTAGCTGTCTGGCACAGGAGGCCTAGCTTTCAGCCTATCTTGGCTTCCTCTCTAAGCTTAAACATTTCTAGCTTTTGATTTAAAATGAGATACGTTTGACTCTTTCTTTTGAATATTTAGAAGCCATTGTAGGGTTATTAATTGGCCTAAATTCAATATTGTGTGTCTCAGGTCATAGGGAGGCTTGCAGAGAGGGAAAGAGAAGGAACGGCCAATGGTTGGAGCAGTCAGAACACAAGACATTTATCAGTTTATCTGTCTTCTATGGGCATGGTTCATGGTGCCCTGAAAGAATTCCAATAGTAACATTGAAGATCTCTGATCACAGATCACCATAACAGATATAAATAGTGAAAAAGTTTGAAATATGAGAATTTTCAAAATGTGACACAGAGACACAAGGTGAGCATATACTATTTGAAAAATGGCACCAATAGACTTCCTTAGTATAGGGTTGCCGCAGACCTTCAATTTGTAAAAAATGCAGTATCTGTGAAGTATAATAAAGTGAAGTTCAATAAAGTGATGCACGATAAAATGAAGTACGCCTGTAGATGTGAAAATGCTATGGTATGCTAAAGAGTACTGTGCAAATTTAAGGCATGTTACTATGCTTGAGCTTATATTTAGTTACTGTGTTGTCTTGGATACTAGAATAGAGAACCCAGATTCAATGGCAATTAACCTTTGAAAATTTATGGGAAAGTATAAAGTAGTAAATAATTTCACAGTAGTATTATTGTGAATGAGCTGTTTGGCTGAAGATGGACTTCAAAGCTAAGATAATACATTCACTTAATAATTTACTTAGTGCATCATATGGATAAGGCATTATACAGTTGAAGTATATCAAACCAAGCCTGGCTCTAAGGCACTGTGAAATTATGTAAGATTTTTATTAGACAACCAATTAATTTAATTCTTTTGTTTTATTGTTATTATTATTTTAGAGACAGGGTCTTGCTCTGTTGCTCAGGCTGGACTTGAACTTCTGGGCTCCAGCTGTCCTCCTGCCTCAGCTTCCCAAGTAGCTGGGACTACAGGCACACACCACCACACCTGGCTTGTTTTATTACTTCAAAAAAATTTTCGTTTTATCTCCCCACCATAGAACTGGATATTTAAAAATTATATTCTAGTTATTGATACCGAATTGAGTGACATGGAATTTTTAACGGTAGCTTTTCTGATATTTGATGTTTCCAAACGGAGTATTTTTGCTATAAAGAGCTTATTCTCATTACTGTCTACCCCCTCCCCTGCCCACTTTTTTTTTTTTTTTTTTTTTTCAGAGCAGTCTTGCTCTGTCGCCCAGGCTGGAGTGGAGTGGTGTGATTTGAGCTCACTGCTACCTCTGCCTCCTGGGTTCAAGCAATTCTTCTGTCTCAGCCTCCCGTGTAGCCGGGACTACAGGTGTGCGCGACCACACCCGGCCAATTTTGTAATTTTAGTAGAAAAATGGGGTTTCACCATTTTGGCCAGGCTGGTCTCAAATTTCTGACCTCAAGTGATCTGCCCACCTCAGCCTCACAAAGTGCTGGGATTATAGGTGTGAGCCACCGTACGTGGCCTCCTTACTGTCCCGTGATGACCTTTTATGAAAGTTTATTTCAGTGACTTTTTTTTTTTTTTGAGACAGTGTCTCTGTTACCCAGACTGGAGTGCAGTGGTGCAATTTTGGCTCACTGCAGTCTTCACCTCCTGGTTCGAGCGATTCTTGTGCCTCAGCCTCCTGAGTAGCTGAGATTACAGGCATGCACCACCATGCCTGGCTAATTTTTGTAGTTTTAGTAGGGATGGAGTTTCACCATGTTGGCCAGTTTGGTCTCTTAACTCCTAACCTCAAGTGATCTCACCTCTGCCTTCGAAAGTGCTGAGATTACAGGCGTGAGCCACTGTATCTGGCCTGTTTCAGTGATTTAAGAGTCACTCAAAATATGATCTGTAGTTAAGAAGCTATCCTTTTTAGTTACCTACTAAATTCAAATTATTTGCTTTTTCTGTCATCTTTATAGTCTATTGCGTCTGCAGACATGGATTTCAACCAGCTGGAAGCATTCTTGACTGCTCAAACCAAAAAGCAAGGTGGGATCACATCTGACCAAGCTGCTGTCATTTCCAAATTCTGGAAGAGCCACAAGACAAAAATCCGTGAGAGCCTCATGAACCAGAGCCGCTGGAATAGCGGGCTTCGGGGCCTGAGCTGGAGAGTTGATGGCAAGTCTCAGTCAAGGCATTCAGCTCAAATACACACGCCTGTTGCCATTATAGAGCTGGAATTAGGCAAATATGGACAGGTGAGTTAAACTTAAGTCAATTTTCCTTTGTAAACTATATTTTTCATTACATGTTAGCTTGTTCATTCAGATTGATTTTATGCAATAACAGCAATAGGAAAAGACACTGTTTCCTAGAATCCTTTTTTCAGAGGTAGAATCATCTGAAAATTTGGATACTCTTACTTGTGGACAGAGTCTGGAAACTATCCTCAGGTCCTGGAAGCTGTCTCAGACGAACGGAATGGGCCAATAACGTGATTGCTCAGAAGCTGACCACTACTGCATTTGGTTAGATCTCAGAATCCTTGGCATTTGGTTAGAATTTCCAAGGCAATAATAGAGATAATAAATAAAGACCAAGAATTCGGATTAGGCAGCACAATCTCATCCAGTCATCTTTAATAATCAGTCAGGGATAGGAGGCAGTGTATCTTAATTTACATTAATACATTGTTCCTAAAGACCCTTAAATGTGCTATCTCTGTCCTTGAGGTCACAAATAATTCTCAATTTAAACTTATGTACAGTGCTTTTTTCCCCAACAGTTTCAGTAGTCATTATGGCAGATAATTTTAATGTCTATATGGTTTTTCTTGAAGTCATTCACTTTGCGTTCCAGATGACTGCCAGCTCAGACTTTTAATGATCTGGTTTATGTCTTTTGGGGGAAAAAAAATAAATTGGTAATTAGGAAGGGAAAACCCAGGTCACTGAATTAGCTAATCACATTTATTTTCAGATAAATAAGTGCTTCTATTATATCCTACAATAGAAATTTATTTCTTCTTAATGATGAGAGTATTTTTGAGCTGTCAGATTTTCTCACATATTTTCTTTTATAGTTTCTTTAGATTTTTCAGTGTTTGCAGTTGTGTACTGACTTTAATTTTAATTTAAAAGATAATTCAGGGCTGGGCACGATGGCTCATGCCTGTAATCCCAGCACTTTGGGAGGCTGAGGTGAGCGGATCACCTGAGGTCAGGAGTTCGAGGCCAAGCTGACCAACATGGAGAAACCCCGTCTCTACTAAAAATACAAAATTAGCTGGTCATGGTGGCACATGCCTGTAATCCCAGCTACTCGGGAGGCTGAGGCACGAGAATCGCTTGAATCCGGGAGGCAGAGGTTGTGGTGAGCCGAGATCATGCCATTGCACTTCAGTCTGGGCAATACGAGCGAAACTCTATCTCCAAAAAAAATTTTTTTTAAATAATAAAAGATAATTCGGCCCGGGCGCAGTGGCTCACGCCTGTAATCCCAACACTTTGGGAGGCCAAGGTGGGTGGATCACTTGAGATTAGGACTTTGAGACCAGCCTGGCCAACATGGTGAAACCTTGTCTCTACTAAAAATACAAAAATTAGCCAGACATTGTGGCAGGCGCCTATAATCCCAGCTACTTGGGAGGCTGAGGCAGGAGGCTCCCGCTTGAATCCGGGAGGCGGAGGTTGCAGTGAGCTGAGATCGAGCCACTGCACTCCAGCCTGGGCGACAAGAGCAAGATTCCACTTAAAAAGAAAAAAAAAAAGATAATTCATTAAAACATTTTCACCGGGCCCAGTGGCTCATGTCTGTAATCCCAGCACTTTGGAAGGCCAAGGCAGGTGGATCACTTGAGGTCAGGAGTTCAAGACCAGACTGGCCAACATGATAAAACCCCATCTCTCCTACTAAAAATACAAAAACAAAACAACAACAACAAAAATTGCCGGGCATGGTGGCAGGCACCAGTAATCCCAGTTACTCAGGAGGCTGAGGCAGGAGAATTGGCTTCAGCCTGGGAGGTGGAGGTTGCAGTGAGCAGAGATCACGTCACTGCATTACAGCCTGGGTGGGAGACCCTGCTACAAAAAAAGAAAAATTTTAAATTTGGAGTACCTTTTTATGCTACTTGTACTTGTTGACTAGTTTGTCTGATCCTAAAGTGAGTTCTGTTTCTGGGCTTGGTGGCTCACGCCCGTAATCCCAGCACTTTGGGAAGTTGAGGCAAGTGGATCATCTGAGGCAAGGAGATCGAGACCAGTCTGGCCAACATGGGGAAACTACATCTCTACTAAAAATACAAAAATTAGCTGGACATGGTGGCAGACACCTGTAATCCCAGCTACTCAGGGGGCTAAGGCAGGAAAATCACTTGAACCCAGGAGGCAGAGGTTGCTGTCAACCGAGATGGCGCCACTGCACTCCAGTCTGGGTAACAGTGAGAGTGTCTCAAAAAACAAACAAACAAACAAACAAAAAAACCCAGCTGGGCGCGGTGGCTCACGGCTCTAATCCCAGCACTTTGGGAGGCCGAGGCGGGTGGATCACGAGATCAGTAGATCAAGACCATTCTGGCTAACACGGTGAAACCCTGTCTCTACTAAAAACACAAAAAAATTAGCTGGGCATGGTGGCGGGCGCCTGTAGTCCCAGCTACTCGGGAGGCTGAGGCAGGAGAATGGTGTGAACCCAGGAGGTGGAGTTTTCAGTGAGCCGAGATCGTGCCACTGCACTCCAGCTTGGGCGACAGAGCGAGACTCTGTCTCAAAAAAAAAAAAACACTCATCTGTTCTCTTAACCATTATGTTATGTGACAGATATTTTTTTACACACACACACACAAATCCAACAGATTAGAAAAGTATAATAAGTACACTGGGATATCTAAGTTTTACCAGCCATTTATATCGGCTATTTAGTTTTTATCCTGCCAGTAGTGCTTATTTCATTTTGTCTATATTTAACATTTGGGAAGGAATATGAAAACATATCTATTTTAAGACTCCTAGAAAGCTATGATATTATTTCATTAATACTATCATAGGTTTTTAGGTTACAGATTGCTTATGTCTGTAATCCCAGCACTTTGGGAAGCTGAGGCAGGCAGATCACTTGAGGTCAGGAGTTTGAGACCAGCCTGGCCAACATGGTGAAACCCTGTCTCTACTAAAAATACAAAAAATTAGCCGAGTGTGGTGGTGTGTGTCTGTAGTTCCAGCTACTCAGGAGGCTGGGGCACGAGAATCACTTGAGCCTGGAAGGCAGAGGTTGCAGCAAGCTGAGATCGGATCACTTCACTTTAGCCTTGGTTACAGAGACTGTGTCTTGGGGAAAAAAAAAAAAAAAAAGAAAAAAGTGTAGCAATGATTGTATACATATATCAAAACTTATAAAATTGTATACTTTATTATGTGCAGTTTATTGTATATCACATACTTCAAAGTAGTAAAGAAATGGTCACAATGAAAATGATTGATATTGCACTTCAGCCCATAAAATCCTTTTTTTTTGTTTTTTGAGACGGAGTCTCACTCTGTCGCCCAGGCTGGAGTGCAGTGGCTCAATCTGGGCTCACTGCAAGCTCCACCATCTGAGTTCAAGCGGTTCTCCTGCCTCAGCCTCCCGAGTAGCTGGGATTACAGGCGCCTGCCACCACGCCTGGCTTATTTTTTGTATTTTTGGTAGAGACGGCGGTTTCACCATCTTGGCCAGGCTGGTCTTGAACTCCTGACCTCATGATCCACCCGCCTTGGCCTCCCAAAGTGCTGGGATTACAGGCGTGAGCCACTGCACCCGGCCTATAAAATCCTTTTTAATACAAATACATGAAGTCAAGAAAAGTTGTAAAGAATAAAGTAAACAATAATAGAACCTAGACTGGCAGTAAAATATACAGCCCACATCCTACAGGAAATGTTTTTGTGAGAACTGGATCCTTGGTTAGTACTTAGGCCAGCTTCTAGGTTAGTGTTATTTATGAAATACTCCACTAAATCAAGTGCCCAATTTTTAGAACACCTATAGGCACCCACATCAAAGTTGTTTTCACACTGCTGACATTGGATGAGCTTGTGAGAGAATTAACGATCCTAGGATATCAAGAAGTTGCTTCCAAGAAGGGTGACCCGTCTTTTGTTGAACTCTGGTGTGTGTGTATGTCTATTTGTGTCACCCAGGACAACTAAAGTGCTGTCTTCAGTATATGTCATTTTAAAGCAGTAGTTCTCAGCCATGGTCACACATAAGAATCACATTCAGAGCTTTAAACATTTTGATGCTCAGGCCTTACCCCGACCAGTTACATAAGAATCTGTGGGGGTGGAACACAGGTAACGTTCGTTAAAGCTCCCCAGAAGATTTCAGTATCCAGGGTTGAGAACCACTGTGTTAAAGGTAGCTGAAATAATTGGATTTGATGTGTTAATAGAACTTGGTGTCATATTTTTATGTCAAGAAGTCAATATATGTTGGCATATTGCTTCTACTTGACGTAATTTGTAGAGTGCTTGGAATTATTTATTCAGGAACTAGTGAAGGTGGATTTCTTTCGTTTCCCTCACTCCGCATTTAAATTTCTCTCTCCTGTTCAGTTTGTCTGTATTATTTTTCTTTGGTCTAAAAAGTACATTTGAAAATCGGCAGCCAAGTACATACATAACCTTGTTTTCTAAACCACAGTATATATTGCAGTATCCTTTGATATATGAGGAAGCCAAAGTAATAGAGAAATAAGTAAGGCAGTATACCTTAATTGAAATCTGCAAAACTAGAGAAAATGAGTAGGAACTACTGACGCAATTACTTTGCTTGTAGTGAATTTTTTTCCAACAGAAGTAAAAATTTTGCAAAAATAAAACATGATTCAATTGTAAAAACATGCAGAAAGCTTTAAGGTGAATATTTTATATCCAAAAGATGAACATCAAGTGCTTTGCTTATGAGACTGAAATTCTGTCGTATTTGGCCATAAATCACTGTGAGATCTGAGCCATGAGGACTGTTGGAATCAGGCATATGTCTTTAGAAATGTTTTATATTTGCTCACCTAACACCTTTGTTGTGTTTTCCTTTCCTGGAACTTCAGTAGAAATTATAATAGAAGTGTTTTTCTTTTTTTAAACACTAACTGGGGAGAAGGGATGGTAATTTATACCGTTAGTGGAGTCTCATTTATGCTTATTTCTTCTTTTTTAGGCTTAAATTTGGGTATTTTATGAAGATGTGTTTTCTTTTATGACTTCTTGTCCTTCAAGGC